TGATTTGTTCTAATGGTGTTTGTAAATAGGATATCATGTCCACATCTTGTACAGCAATTTACCACTAGGGAGAATATATGCAATGTGTTAATTATTGAAACTGTTCTACCAATTTGGTTTGAAACTGTCTCATTGCTATTTGTTTCTCAATAAAATTATGGAAAAAAATAAAAAAATAAAAGGACAAGGGAAAAAATTTCAAGGTTTATGGAAAGGAAAAAAAAAAAGTACACAAAGTGATGCTCACCAGAATATGTTCAGCCTTGGAAAGGAAAACTTACTTTGACACCCTGTAGCAAATTGATTTTATGTGAAGTTTGGTATTACAACACTGGATTGGGCTCCTTTGCTGTGTCCCAACTCCACTGGTAGAAATCATATTTGATTACACATTTTTATAACTTTTGTGACCTCTCCCCCAATTATGCATGATATTTTCTATTTATTTTCATATTTTAAGACAAAGTACCATAGCTGCTTTGTTAGTCTCAAAGGACATGACCTGATGAAGATTAAAAAACACAGTTTGCACATATGGTCTCTTAATTTTTGAGAGAAAGCCTAAACAACTTTTTTTAAAGATTCATATTCTATATATCATTTACGCATTTGAAACCCAGCTTAGTGGAGTAATGTTTTTCACCATCAAAAATAAAATATTAAAAGAACGAGGAAGCTATTTAGATGCTGATTGCTTGTTCTCTGTGCAGAAACAACATTTCACACTCACTGGGTTAATGGGAGAGGGAAGAGAAAGAAAAACCAGTAATTCATGATTTATATTGGTATGTGAGACAGAATTTATGAAACCATATGAACTTTTTCATGCAATATTATTTTGATGTTTTCATATAAGGTCACAGTGTGCACATAACAAATAGAAAAAAAAAGTAGCCTTTCCCAGACAGCAAGGAGGAGAGTAATAAAATATGGTTATCCAGGTCTTTGTTTCAGACCTACTCCTAAAATCTTAGGCCTCCAGTAGCCATTCAAGATTGGTTTTGTAGTCTTTTAGTCATCCTTTTCAGATTATGTACTCTAATCTTGGAATCAGTGGCATAGTTTGGACTTCTGAAAATGATTGATCTGAGAAATGTTATAATTTCTAGATTGTCTATAATGATAGCAGCTTAACAGTGTTCACCAACTATTTTGCGAAAGATCGCTAGATTCTAAATTCTAGAATGTCAGCATCATCCTTTTCTCATAAAGTCTGGAACCCTTCTTATGATCCCTGAGTGCATTTGGCTTTTCTTTGAGTGTATTCCGTGCAGAAGAGAAGCAGTCTTTTAGGGGCTTTGGGAAGATAGTCACATGCTATTATGTAGTGCTCAATGTGGATATTGGATGCGCAGGGGCTTTTTGAGCCCCACAGCTGGTGAGAAAGCTAATTATGTTATGACTGTTGAACAGGACCAATGATCTTTATTACCTCTCTTGTTCTTTTACTTCAACCTTCCTTTTAAAATGATCATTGTAGTGGCTTGTGTAGTCCTCCTCAATAAAGATGGTATTCAGAGGTGTTTTGTTGTAAATGCTGAACTGCAGAAAACCTCTATCTTTAAAGATTTATCTCTGGACTCTAGAAATTGGGAGTGGTGAGGATTTTTAATTGCCATAGCTCATCTTTTCTCTGGATTGATCTGGGTCAAGATGTGGGCTTAGGATCTGCCTTGACCTTTCAAATACTACTGCTCCTTCAGAGGCAGCTTCAGAGAAGAGGTCTATGGCAGCCAGTGTAGTGACTATTTTGGCAGTTTCTCTGTTAACTTGGTCAGTCTGTGGTTCATTTATGCTTTTTCACATACTTGGGTCCTGGTTGAGAGCATAGTCTCAAGGTTGTAGGGTGAAGAGAAAAAGTATCATGATGACAGCCAAGAAAACAGAGCTTAAATGAAGTGTGCATACACAACTAATGATAAATCCCTCTTGCTTTCTAGAGGTGGTTTCCTATAGGAGGAACCACAGGGATCTGTATTGATTTTATGGCAAAAAGGTTGAAGCAGACAGAAAGAGTATCAGTTCCAGTTATTGATACTACCAAATAACAGGAACTGGTTATTAGTCTGTTATGGTTTGTGTCCAGGTGTCCCCCCAAAGCCTCATGCAGTCTTGGGGCAGCCTCTGGAGTTTGTTATTGATTAAAGTGGGTATGGATGCTGCGCTTGCCCTGGGGCAGGTGATTTGCATTACAGTGTAAGGTGGGAAGAGAAGCCAGCTGCTTGAGCTGCTGCTGCCCCTCCTTTGCGCTCTTCGTCTTTGCTGCCACCATGAAAGGTTGCTCTCTGCTGTGTGCCACTCTGCCTTGGAGCCAGCTGAGTGTGGACTGAAACCTCAAGTGACTGTGAGCTAAATAAATTTTTCCTTCCTTCATTTTGGGTGTCAGATATTTGTCCCAGCAATGAATGAAGAATAACTAAGACATAGTCGTAGACAGATTTTCCATCTTTTGCAGTTGTTTTTCCTACACACCTGCCTATGTTGTCCAACGTCTTTATCAGTCCCTTTCAGCAAAGATTGTTCCATTTAGTGTCTCCTGAATAACCCTGGAGGCTTTATGTTTCTATTATTCTAAAAGCTTGTTTTGCTGATGGGTCTGAACGGGGAAACATAGCACTAAATGCAGTGCTGTCTGTGACTAGATGGTAAGCATTTAGATAGCAGATGGTAACTGAAATCCTAGCAAGTCTGTTGTGTGCTTTGCCTCTGGCTGTAGCACGTGGGTTAGAGGACTTTGAGTACATTAGGCAGAGTAAGATCCCTGACTGCTATACATACATGAATGGGATTGGTGTATATTTCATCAATGCTCTCATTATCAGATTAAAGTTCTGTTTTTAAAAAACCTTATTTTAAAAAGTACCATGGTATAGGTATTAGCTAAGAAACCTCTAAAATGAATGACTATTGTTTAGCTTAGATATTCATATATTCAAACATTGTCGATGTATGTAATATTAGTGATATAAGGGAATGAAACTCCCAACCTGAAAGATACCTGGGGTGAGTTCCTGTTCTCTAAAACTGAAGAATGAATTTTAGGAACAACAGAGGTTAAGAGCAGAATGTATTTATTGGGGGAAAGAAAGCTTCTGTCTGAGAGAGGGACTGAAGGGGACCTGAGTGGGTTGCCTAGGAACCTGTCTTTTAAAGGGATTTTTATAGAACAAAACCATGAGGTGAGGTGGGTCCAAGATGGGAAACATGGGAACTCACAAGGTGAGCCTGAGGTGGGATAACACTATGGTTCACTGGTAAGATTGCAAACATTACTGCTCAGGTAAAATTAATTAAATCAGGATCAAATGGGGTAGCAAGTCACATAGCAAGTGGGCATGAATACAGCAGGGGAGCTGGGTTGGTGACTCTTCCTGGCTTTCTCAAGGTGTTGGAGACTTATTTAGAATATCAATCCCTGATGTCCATCCCTAGGGAGGTATGTGGCTGCATTTGTTTACGCTTTTGCCTTGAAGTCTGGCCCACAGTGGAAGTGCCTGTCTGTCCTAAGTTGCACGGTCTTGTCTTCCATACTAGCTCCTTTGAGGGCCTGGCCCTGTCTGACTGCCTATAATATTTCTATCTAACTCAGCTGCCTACTATGTTAGGATATGAAACATCATAAAATATTGAGTATTTGGGGTTTTTTTTTTAGAAACTTAGAAAATCCTAGTGAAGTAATGGAGACAGCTTTATTAGTAAGAAGTAGTTATTACTGCAACTAAGTGCAATAATAAATGCTGAGAGTCAAGAGAGTTTGGTGTCCAGCCCTGAGCGTGGTGCTGGCCAGACATCATGCATGCCCAAAGAATGGGACAATCTTGAAGAAACAGACAGATTCCTAGATACACATAATGAACAAAATTGAGTTAAGGGAACATTAAAACTGAAAAATCCAGTAACAGGCAATGAAATAGAAGCAGTAATTTAAAAAACCTACTGACTAAAAAAAGTCCAAGTCCAGATGGATTCACTATTGAATTCTACAAGAACCACAGGGAAGATCTAATGTCACCAGTCCTCAAGTTTTTTTTTTTAATTCACTAGATATTCTCTAACTATATGACATTTTATTTTTTAAAAAAGAATAAAAAATAGTAAAAGAGACATCAGAAATGATACAGAATTTCACTGAACAAAATAATAGTTCAACAATGGTTATCATATTGCATAGTGCTGTTTCAAATTAGTTGTTCAGATTATCAGATAAAAGCATGCAGAATTGGTCAAAAAATTAAAAAGAGAGAAAAAAGTTTAAGTACCATGTGCTCCTTCAGTAGACCTTCAGAAATCAGCAATACAATTATTCAAGCTATCCCATCTATATATGTGTTTTATATATATATATTTTTTTTTCTTTCTTAAATATATTTTTAATTATCTATCTGTCTATCTATCACAGGGTCTTGCTATACAGCTCGTACTCCTAGTGTTCCTTCTCTTTCAGCTTCCCTAGTGCTGAAATTACAGGGATTATACCAATTCTGGTTTCAGGGGCCTGCACAGTGCACCCAGGTTCTGGGGCTGGTGTGGCATGTGGTACCAGTGATTGAACCCAGGTCCTTACGCTTGTCACGCAGGCGCTTAGACCACCGAGCTACCTCCTTCACTCCTCTTTTTCCCTTTTTTGTTTCTTTCTTTTCTCTTTTTCCTCATCCTACTTGCCCTTTTCCTTTGAACAGTTTCACAGTATGTATTGTACCTTTTAGATTTTATTTACTCTTTCAGTTTCTTACACTAGCAAGACAATACAATGTTTACACATGCCGTTCTCGTTTATTTCACTTGTGAATATGGTCTCTAGTTACATCCATTTACCCTACATATACTTGAGTTTATCTTTTTTATAGCTGAATAATACTTCATTGTATAAAAATGCTGTATCTTTTTCATCCATTCCTAGGGTGATGGGCATTTTGGTTGCTTCTAAGATTTAGCTATGACAAATTGCGCTGCTATGAACATGGGTGCACATCTGTTGTTATGGTGTGGTGTTTCTAATTCTCCTGGCAGTGTTGCAAAAGGGGAATAGCTGGGTTGAATGGGGCCTCTAATTCTAGTTTTTTGAGAAATCTCCACACTGATTTCCTCAGTAGTTCCATTAATGTGCACTCACTAACAAGAGGGTTCCTTTTTCCCCACAGCCCCCTTAGCATTTGCTGTTGGTTTATTTCTTTATGTTAGCCATTCTTTCTGGGGTGTGTAGTGTTAATATGTACCTCTCAAATGACCAGAGGTATATGACCAGAGATATTGATTGAGCATTTTTCATTTATTTATTTGCCATTTGTATTTCTTCATCTGAGAAGTGTGCATTCTTTTTGGATGCCCATTTTTGGATTGGGTTTTTGAATTTTGGAAGTCTGATTCTTTTTTTTTTGGGGGGGGTCTGATTTTTAAAAATTCTTACATGTTCAAAATAGAAGTCCTTTGCCTGAGGGACAACTGGCTATAATTTTTTCCAACTGTATGGGTTGTCTTTTCACTTTGTTGATGATTTCTTTTGTTGCACAGAAGCTTTTTAATAAGGTGTGATCCCTTTTGTTAATTCTTTGACATATTTCCCATATGATCTGGGTTTTTGTTCATGAGATCTCTGCCTACCCCTATGTCCTCAAGATTTCTACTTACTTTCTCTTCCAGTATATTTAATTTTTTGTCTTAATATTTAGATCTTTGATCCAGTTTGACTTCAGTTTAGGAGTGGTGATAGACATGGGTCTATTTGTCGTGTCTTTGGCATGTGGAAAGCCAGTTTTTCCAGCACCACTTATTAAAAGAGACTTTCGTTCTTCCACTGAACATGTTTAGCTCCTTTGTCAAAGGATAAGGTGTACACTCAGCAACAAAGGAGCGCTCCTTTTTCCCCACAGCCCATTTAGCTGAGTATGTTTGGAGTTGCATCTGCATCTCTTATTTTGTTCCACTGATCTTCAGGTATTTTTGTTCTGAGAAGGGACGGTTAGAGATAATGAGATTTTCCTCAGACTTTTCATAAAATTTTATTTATTTTTCAATTCTAGGGGACTCCTTTTCACAGTTCCGTTTTGCAGAGGAGAAGGAATGGGATAGTGAAGCTTCATGTCCCAAACAGGTAAGACAAGCTTGTCTTGAATGTGGATTGGGTCTTCTCAAGGCTGAGGGACCTTCCTCATTATTTCTGAGGCAGAGTTGACAGAAAAGAATTGTATTTCATCTGCAGCTTCTTCCCAGTTACCTAAACTATCCAGAAAAATGTCAGGGGACTGAAATGGTGTAGGTGCTTTGAGTGCAGAGTCAGCCTTCTACCCGTCATCCGTGTGAGTTACTCACAGGCCGAGTTGTGAGACACAGAGTACATACTCATGATGGTTACAGTAGATTATTTTGCAACTTTTTTTTGTTAATGTGTGACCGTTTCCTTTAGCACTAAAAACCTTTTTTACTACAGTATACTCTTATTCTTACAATTTTAACTTAACTCTTCTGTGTCATTAGGAGAATAAAGGTAGAAAATAGGAACAAATATTGTAAAAGTCCTTCAGTGAACCCATGAACTCCAGATACTTTATTTGCTGTGTTTCATCCAGTAGTTTCTTTCCAAGGGCTCTGATTTCTTCCCAAACAGGAATCCACATAAGAGACAGTGGGTATCCAACTCCTTTAAAAATACTCAGAATTATTATTACCTGAAGTGCAGTTTAGGAGGATTTTTTTTTTTTCTACTTCAAGCTGCCATAAGGATGGGGCTCATGCAGCTTCTGGAGCTGGGAATCGAACTGTGGTCTTATGAGCCTGACTGCATTTGCCCAAGCAGTGCTTTAAACAACTGAGCTATCCGGCAAGGCTCCCTGAAATATAGTTTATGATTCTGCATAGTTGGTTTAAAGTGGACAAACTGAGTTTGCTGAGGAATAGAGTAGAAGTCGAATGGTCCACATATCAGTTTATCCTGGTCCATGCTGCACAGCAGAGAATATTTCAGGTATCTTCAAAGTTTCATATGGTGCTTGGTTTCATCATCCAGATGTGAAGCATTTGTTATCTAATAGATATTATTTTAGATGCAGCTTACCTGAGCCTAGTGGCTGACCCATACTAGATGGTTAGCAAATATTTACACAATAAGTAAATATTAAAGCAGCATTAAGTAAGTGTTGTGACAAATGGATCAACATAATACTGTTGGAGATAACTACTTTGGACTGGGAGTGATCAAGAATGGTACTACGAGGAACAGATAATTAGAATGGGCCTTGGTAGACAGGCATAGCTCTGGTACTTTCCGTCTACCTGAGAGCAGTGAGGAGGGAGGGGAAAACTAGATTGTGTTTAAATTTAGAATTGTGGTTAGTATGTAGTTTTTCCCCAAAATGGTGGCTTCAGGGCCAGTTGGTACCAATAGTTTGATTTTCATTGTCTTCAGGGATTTCTTAGCATTTGGTTAAGAGCATAGTCTTTGGAAACACAGACCTGAGTGTAAATCCTAGTTCAATGATGTGGGCAACTTTCTTTTTGCTATTATGTAAAATACTATTAATGATAAACTATAACTGGCAGGTGTAGTGAGCATTGAAGGACCCTATAAAGGGTTCTAGAGAATCCAGATCCTTTAGCGCAGCTCCTAACAGATATGAAACACCAAAATGAGTTCTTCTTATTATTATTTAAGAAACTTTGTTTATTCCAAAACATAAACATGGTAAGTTTTAACTCTAGCAGTGTTGGGATGAAAGACTGAGCAGATGAAAGGCTGGAGAGAGGTAAGCCAGTTAGGAGATGTTACAGTGAGCAAAGGGGTGAGAGTGGAAAAGGAGGTTATATGTGGCTGGGACCTCAGCATAGGATAAGATGGGCTGTGGTCACTGGCCAGGTATGAGACATGGTACAAGAAAGATTTGTGATAGTGCCAGTCTTTCTAGCTTCAGTAATTGAGTAGTGATGCCAGCAGAGAGTAGAAAACAAGGGCAGAAAAAGTTTTAACTATTTTGAATTAGATATTAGCAGAATCCATCCAAAACTGAATTAATCATTTTCTCATCAAGACTATTTGCCATCTCACTAGTTAAGTTTTTTTTTTTCTTACTTGAGAGAGAAAAAGGTATGAACATGTAAATTTTAGTTTTAAACAATGTCTCTACCCCATTCCTCCTCAGCATCGTGCATGGAGCCTGTGTGGGTGGTAGGAACCTGTATCCCTCCAGGCTCTTCTCTAGAGAACTGTAGACTCTGAGTCTCAGTCTTGTGTAAAACAACATTCTTTTTAATTTTTCTTTTCTTTTTTTGTGGTACCTGGGATCGAACTTGGGACCTTGCACATGCCAGGCAGGCTTATGCCGCTGAGCTATCTCCCTGGCCCTTGTTTATTTTTCAATAAATGACTTTTTCACCAAAAGAAGTTCTCCTCTCACCCATTTCTTTCACACATAATGATGCAAGTGTCTCTTGTCAGCTCAAGCAGTAGTCGGGCTCCTCTGGACTAAGGCTGCAGTGACTTCCAGTGCCTGCATGGCTGAATTGGGGAAATACTTTTCTTGTGGCTTTGAGTGAGCAAGGTACCTTGCGGCTCTTGTACTTTCTTTTAAGCAGTCCTTACTGGAGTTTTACACCCTTAAGCCTGTGATGGGTGTGTTCTGACCTTTTTTTTTTTTTTTTTGAGTGCAGTTGATGTTTACTGACAATAATACAAAACAGATTAAGACTAAAGCTGTTATTTTAGAGGAACAGATATCGGTGCAGTTTCCTTCCTGGAGAAAGTATGTACTCATCTTAGATCATGAGACAGCCATCTGAACCTCTCACTTCTCTCCTCCTCCTTTTGTATGGCTACCACCACTTTCCTGCTTCTTTTCTACTGCTGAATCTGTGGACTTGGGGCTGTCATCAGAGATGCACAGCCCATGGCCTTCGAGCCCCTGGCTGGTAAAGCTGCGTTGCCAGGTGTCCTTGTTTCTTATGCAGTCTCTCTTAACCACTTCCCCTTTCTTTTCAGTAGTGTCTGTAGTGCCTATTGATTCTGTACTTTCATTTATCCTGAAGTGCTTCTTTTTCCTCTTTTAACTTCTTTTCTTTTATAAGCCTTCTTTTTCTCACAGTGCTCCTGCCTGCGGCACGCCTCTTCTTGCCACTTCAGTCAGTGTGTCTCTCTCTCTCTCTCTCTCTCTCTCTCTCTCTCTCTCTCTCTCTCTCTCTCTCAGCATGTGCTCCTGCTCTCTCTCACAGTCATGGTCCCTCTCCCTGTAGTTTCTGCCACTCTGATCTTCACATCTCTTCAGCTTTTCATCTTTAGGCTCGCCATCAGAACGCTTGGGCAGTGTGTGGCTCTGTCCACTGGCTCTTTCATCATTCAGATTCTCTTTGTCCGTTTCTTGGCTTTTTCTCTTTATCCAATTCTTTTTCATCTTTTTCTGGTTTCTTAAGCAACTTAATCTTTGATTCATCCTTTAATTTGTCCCTTTCTGGAACTCTGTCTTCATCAGCTTCTCTATATCTTTTATGTTTCACTACTTCTTTCCATTTTCTTCTCTCTTTTCTTTGCCTTTTTTGTTCTATTTCTCATCGCCTTCTTTCTTTTTTCTCTTCTCTCATTCTCTGCTTGTTTTTCAGAAAGCTCAAAAGTGGGGTTGTCCTTTTAGCTATTAATTCTCTATTTTTAGCTTCTATTTCTTCTAACAGTGTCTCTGGAGTAGATGTCATTTCTCATTATCTGTGGCATAACTCTCCAAAAATTTCCTGTATTCTGGATCATCATCAATAGTCCCAACTTTAGTGTCTCTTTTCTTAGTCTTATTTTTTGCAG